ATAGAATATTTTAAAAAAATTAAAATTAATAGAGTTATTAAAATTAATGAGCTCTTATACTCAATTTATAAAATAAAAATCAAATATTCACACTTTATAATTTTCGTCTTTCATCAAAGGTATTTTAGCACCTATTTCATCGTTTACTCACACCGTGAAGTGATTATTGCAAAAGATAAATAATATAAAAAAGCAAAAAAAGACAAGGTAAACTAGTGTTCCAAAAAAAATTTCATAAACAATATAAACATATGTCATATTAGTTCAAAATGTATAATATACTATAATCATTAAAACATCTCTAGACTCAATTATCTGAATACATATTTTGACATACATATTCAATATAAATGTGTACTCATAGTACTATTTATACTTTGCATAGTCCTAAACGTAATTACCCTACTACTCATGAACTTAATCTTTCAATATCTAAACTAAAAGTCTAATGAAAAGACCTTATATCATTATCTCCTTTACCCCAATCATCTTTATTTTAGTTGAATAGCTGGTAGAATATTATGATACCCACTTTCAAAAGTCTTACATGTAAAAACATACATTCAAGATCACCAAACATTTAATTTCTCTTTAAAATCCTCTCAATAACATAGCTACATATGTACTCATAACAAACATCATCAAATCACAAACTATTCTTCATGATTACATTCATAAAAGCTAAATTCTTAGACATAAATCATAAAAAAATAATTATAAATTTAATATTAGATAGAATTTAATTTAATCTATTTCATAACTTAGATGTCTAAATTAGTTTTTAATTTAAAATTATAGACTGAGAATCAATAATATTAAGTAGTTTTTTATTCACAATAAAAATAATTTTAGATACTAATTACTTTTACTTTATAAAATGAAATTTAACTTAGTCAATATAATATAATGGTATTAATGAGTTCTTCAATATTTTATATAAATGAGTTATTTTAGTTTTATTCATATTGAGCCATATTTTTCAAATTTGATATAGCTTTTTCATTTTTTTGAATAAATAAATTAAACATACTGGACTTTTGTAGAAAATAAATTGCACAATTTTTTTATAAATTCTTTAATAATAAATATAATGTTTATATTTTAAATAAAAAGTAATAAAGTTTAAAAAAATAAAAATTTAGGTGTATTTTTGAACTAAATTTTGACAAAATTCATTAAAATGAGAGCGTTTTTGGTTGAGTCAAGTACGAATAAATTTAAATCCAACTATTTTTGTTGTGTGGACTGAAATTTGTTCACTAAAAAATCATTTACATGATTTAATTTATTTACTCATAAAAAATACTTATAGTAGATTTATGAAAAAAAAAAGTCAAACCTAGTATTGTTAGCTTAGATTAGTGCAAGTATAATATAGCAGATTTATATATCAGAACAACAGCTACAAGAAATATCTACGTAACAATTAATGCAAATAAAGTATTTTGACGTAAAAGTTTTATGGACATTAATTATCAATAAAATCAATAAGCAAGGTCATACTAGTATCAGAATTTTATAAAGAAATATTTTGATAAATTATGAAAAAGAAAACTCAAACCTATTTAACGGAAAGTTCTGAGTAGAAATAAAGTTATTTAAAAAAAATGGTAGAATAACACAGTTTTATGTTTATTTAACACATAATATAAAAATAAAATAATTATAAGAAAGTGAATTTTTATATTTTTTAAAAAGAAAAAAATTAAAAATTAAAAAAATAATGTCACCATAAATATAAAAAAATGATGTGTTAAAATATATATTCTTAGACGAAATAAGTATTGTAAGATGTAAAATTTGAATCGTAGTGTTTGGTTGAAACTACCTTTAAAAGTATTTTTTTTCTTCTTATAATTAAAAAAAAATTAAATATGAAATCATATAACATCAATTATTTCCTATCACTTTTCAAGAAAAATTTGTCAGTTGTCTGTCAAGAAGAGTGACATATAACCATAATGAAATAAAAAATAATTGATGTTATTATTACTTTTTAATTTTTTTCAAATTCACCCATTTTCAATAAGGTCATGTTTGGCATATTTAGCATCTCAAAATTTACTTATTCAAAGATTTGTTTTTTCACTGATGTTATGTTAGCGTGATAATTATTCATCCTTATTCTTTTTTATACAAAGTGAAAATCAAGCCATTTTAATTCATCAAATTTTATTATATTTTATGGGAAAATGTAGAAAATTTTAAGATATAATTCCATCTTATCAAATATTTAATGTTAAGATAAGACTTTGTTCAGTTGTCAGGCTAAAGGAAAATAAAATAGTTTAAGTTAATTAGAAATACTGAAGACATGTTGGTTAGTTTAATTCTCGTGATTTAAAAATAATAATTATGTATTATTAGGTTGTAATAAAATGTTATTTCTAGAATGAATATCAAGAATGAATTTGAAATACATATTCAATATGATTAAAGGGCGGCTGTGTTAATTAACAAATCCTATTTATAATAGATAAAAGTAATATATAATTAGAAAAGTGAAATTATATTCACAAAATTATTATTTTTAGCTAGTGTGAAAATAATAAATTGTGATGATTTTGGATGGACATGATAGTATTTGAGAAATTAAGATTAAGTTATGGAAAATTGTGATTGAAATCCTGTATAAATCTATCATAAAAATTGCAATATATTTAAACAAAAATTATTTATATTATTAATAATAAAATTAAAGATGTTAAAATAGATTATTTAACTCACTCAAATCTATTATAGGTCAGACTTATCATAAGTTAATTATTTAATAAATTAATTTAACTCGATTAACTTATTTGTAAGTTTAAAAAATTTAGTTTGATTCGATTTATTATGAGTCAGTGAAATAAAAAAAGTTAATTCACTTAATTAAAAATATTATAATTTTTTTATCTAATATTTTTATATGTAACTAAATTTCAAAATATTCAAATTTATTTTTTCTTATTTTAGATAACAAATAAATCATTCATTCTAAAATGGGAAACTCATACAGTTATATTATATCTTATTATCTTAGTTCATTCTAAAATGAGAAACTCATAAGCTTTAATGTGAGAGACAAAGATAAATACCGAAAGAAATGTTATGGATGTGACTCTCTCTCCGCTGAAATTTCAAACAAAAAACAAAGTTTGTTTATGTTTTGGATTAAAATGTTATAAATGTCATATAAGTTTTTTTTTTGTACCATTTAACAGTTCTAAATAAAACGAGTTATAATTTCTTTTCGATAAAAAATCTAATTTTGTTTTTACATATTAAAATATCTATTAATTTTTATACATGAGTCTCTGGCCCACACTGTCCATACATTTGACTTCATAATGGTTTAAAGTGGATTAATTAACGGCCTGTAACCTCTATTTTACATTCTAAATAGCATTTTAATGGTTGACTCCTTTGCATTAATGGTTTTTAACTCAGAACTGTAGATTTCATCATCACAATGATAAATTTTCTTGCAGATTTACCGTTTTCAAAGCTCCAATTAAAACCATAAAGTGGTTGTTTAATTTAAACAATAAATTTAATTTTTTATATATATTTGATTGAATTTAATTTGGTGTTCAAGCTTATTATCATTCATGTGTAAAAGGTTAAAAATCTAATATGAATAGTAAAGTTTATATAAAAGAGATGGAGTAAGAAAAAAAATTTTAAGTTGAAAATAATTTTTTGTTTAATTATTATTGATAAAACTAATTAAACTAATAATCTCACAAGTTTAAGTTAATTTATTTTCACACAACTAAGATCTGAAAAGTCGAATTTGTTCCCACATGTAAATATAATATAAATAACGTTTGCAGGTAGTGATATTTAATAGTACCCGATACAATATATTTAACAATTCTCATTAAAATAAACTCTAATGTCACATTAAAATATAAATTTAAACCAAATTAATCCCCATAAAATCAGTTTAAAAGTATTTCAAACTGAGTGCTAACCATGTCAGAATTAATATCATTAATTTAAATCATAAACTAATAAGTTTACTAAATCAACTTGTTTTGTTAAAAAATACAAATTTTAAAAAGGATTAAATATTCCCAAATTATTTTCAAAATCTATATTTCATCCCTGAACTAAACTATGTATTTATTTCTTTACTGTAGTGTATACAAATTTGTAAAATATCATTTTTGGAGGAAACAATACATAAAAATTAAGTTATAGTTGACTAACATATTTTACGGGATCTTCATAAACATACAAATAAGAAATAAATATATAATTTAATTTAGAAACAAAACATAACTTTGTAAAATAATTTCAACATAACATGTTCAACTATTTTAAAAACTACAATGCATTCCTTTTTATATATATAAACTAAACACATGTAAATCATTAGAGTTGCGAAGGTAGAGAGAGACAAGGCATTTTTAAACGATCAAACATGACATGTTAAGCTATCCAAACAGGGAATTGACTGTAGATGGTAAGAGTCATTTTGGAAGACTGATATTTAGACATTTTTTGATAAAGAGAAAATGATAACAATAATAATATAATAATAATATAATGATAATAATAGAATAAGGCCTCCATCAGAAAGAAACTGGTAGGTGCTTCTGTTTGGTGGTGGCTGCGTAACATATCATAACATAACATAATATATCTTATGTAGCAACTAGCTATAAGCAAGAGAAGAGAAGAGAAGAGAAACCATTGTACATCTTTTGTTGTCTGTCTGCTTCACACGTTGTTATTGGCGTACTTCTCAATCATGTTTTTCATTATCATCTTTCACATTTTCCACTCTTCCTCCACTTCCACCCTCTAAAGTAAACGCTCCTATTTCTATTTTTCTATTCATCATTTCTTTAATGCCAACCATCCACTCCTACTTTTATATTATCATTTTTATTTTCTACTTTCTTTAAGATCAATGGTAGAACAACAACTATATCAAAAATCTTTCTTTTCTTTTCTTTTCTTTTCTTGCTTCATCCACAGTTTTTCAAAATAAACATAAACACCAGATGAATTATATTTACTATGAACTGCAATGAGTTGTTACAGTGGTAATGATAATTAAAATCTAAATATTATCTATGTGTATGTATATCTAAATCCCCAGTTGTCAACGTCACCCTTCCACTTTCTCTCTCTCTCTCCCACCCTTCATTTTGCTTCCCTTGTCAATGGATGGTCATGGTCTTCCTTGCTCCCATGCCACCCCAACTATCTCTTCTTACATTGGTTCTTCACCCCCTTATGTCCCCCTCCTCCTCTTCTTTCTCATTTCCACTCTCTCATGACCAACCATCACTTCAAACACTCCATTCTCTCAGTTTTTCTCATGCCATCACCATCTTCATCTTCCTCTGCATATTCCCTTTACAATTCTTACATGGTTTCCAACTTCATGGTCTCTATCATAGTCCCCTTATTCCTCTTCTCCTTGTTTGTTGTTCATGTTTCCTCTTGTAGTCAGATTGATAAACTCTCCCTCTTGGCTTTCTCTGGGAACATATCCACCTCTCCACCTTTTCCTTATCTCAATTGGTCTGATTCTCTTGACTGCTGTGCTTGGGAAGGCATTACTTGTGATGGGGATCTTAGAGTCACACATCTTTTGCTACCTTCTAGAGGCCTCACTGGCTTCATCTCCCCCTCTCTCACAAACCTCTCTTGTCTCTCTCACCTTAATCTCTCCCATAAGAGATTATCTGGTGGTCTCCAGCACCAGCTTTTTTCATTGCTCAGTCACTTGGTGGTTCTTGATTTGAGCTACAATCATCTGTCTGGTGAATTGCCACCTTTTGGGATTGATAACAGTGGCAAAAATAGCAGTGGTGCTGCTATCCAGGAGCTGGATTTGTCCAGCAATTTTTTCAACGGGACACTTCCAAATTCTTTGCTCGAGAACTTGGCAGCTGCTGCAGCTGGAGGAAGTTTGGTGTCTTTGAATGTTAGTAATAACAGCTTCATAGGTCATATTCCCACTTCCCTGTTTTGCATTAATGACCGTAACTCCTCCTCTCTAAGATTCTTGGATTATTCCTCCAATGATTTTGATGGTGCCATTCAGCCTGGACTTGGAGCATGTTCCAAGCTGGAGAGATTTAGAGCAGGCTTCAATTTTCTGTCATGGCCTATTCCAAGTGATCTTTTTGATGCTGTTTCTCTCACAGAAATCTCATTGCCCCTCAATAGACTCACTGGAACAATTGAAGATGGTATAGTTGGCCTTACCAACCTCACAGTTTTGGAGCTCTACTCCAATCATTTCACAGGTTTCATCCCCCGTGAAATTGGTAAACTCTCCAAGTTGGAACGGCTACTCCTTCATGTCAACAATTTGACAGGTACTATGCCCCCGTCTCTGATGAACTGTGTCAATCTTGTGGTCTTGAATTTAAGGGTCAATCTCTTGGAGGGAAATCTCTCTGCATTCAATTTCTCAGGATTCCTCAGCCTTACTACACTTGATCTTGGCAACAATTATTTTATCGGTGGTTTACCACCAACCCTTTATGCATGCAAATCACTTTCAGCTGTGAGGTTTGCATCTAATCAGCTTGAGGGAGAGATTTCTCCCAGGATACTTGAACTAGAGTCTTTGTCTTTCCTATCAATTTCTACTAACAAGTTTAGGAATGTTACTGGGTCTCTGACAATACTCAGGGGTCTCAAAAACCTCAGTACCCTTATGCTCTCCAAGAATTTTTTCAACGAAATGATACCTCAAGATGTGAACATAATAGAGCCAGGTGGATTTCAAAAACTGCAGGTTTTAGGATTTGGTGGTTGTAATTTCACTGGTCAAATACCAGGCTGGCTTGTGAAACTTAAGAAGCTTGAGGCCTTGGACCTGTCCTTTAATCAAATCAGTGGTCCAATTCCTCCATGGTTGGGTAGACTTCCTCAACTTTTCTACATGGACTTGTCTTTTAACCTCCTTACTGGTGTAATTCCAGTAGAGCTCACAGAACTCCCAGCACTGGCATCACAACAGGCAAATGATAAAGTAGAAAGGACTTATCTTGAGCTACCTGTCTTTGCAAATGCAAATAATGTTTCCCTACTGCAATATAATCAGCTTTCAGCCCTCCCCCCAGCAATATATCTGGGAAACAATCACCTTAATGGCAGTATCCCTATTGAGATTGGAAAACTCAAAGCCCTTCTTCAGCTGGACGTGAAAAATAACAGCTTCTCTGGTGATATACCCGTTCAGTTTTCAAACCTGACTAACTTAGAGAAACTAGACCTCTCAGGAAACCAACTATCTGGTGAAATTCCTGAATCCCTTAGAAAATTACATTTCTTGTCTTTTTTCAGTGTAGCCTTCAATAATCTTCAAGGACAGATACCAACTGGTGGTCAATTTGATACTTTCTCCTATTCCAGCTTTGAAGGAAACTCGCAATTGTGCGGTCCAGTCATTCAGCGTTCTTGTTCTCAACAAAATACTTCTACTAATACTACTCCAGCTAGTCACAGCTCAAACAAAAGAATAATGATTGCACTTGTCATTACAGCCAGTTTTGGCTTTGGCTCCTTGATAACAGTGTTGACTCTGTGGATACTGTCCAAGAGAAGAGTCAATCCAGGTGGAGAGCTAGACAAGATTGAAATGGAATCAATTTCTGCCTACTCCAACAATGGAATTCATCCAGAAGTTGACAAGGAGGCTAGCCTGGTGGTATTGTTCTCCAACAAGAATAATGAAACCAAGGACCTCACCATATTTGACATCCTAAAAGCCACTGAAAATTTCAGTCAGGCAAACATAATAGGATGTGGGGGTTTTGGTTTGGTTTATAAAGCAACACTACCAAATGGAACCACAGTTGCCATCAAGAAACTTTCAGGAGACTTGGGCCTCATGGAAAGGGAATTCAAAGCAGAAGTAGAGGCTTTGTCAACAGCACAACATGAGAATCTGGTGGCATTAAAAGGCTATTGTGTGCATGAGGGATTCCGGCTTCTCATGTATACATACATGGAAAATGGAAGCCTTGATTACTGGTTACATGAAAAGCCTGATGGTGCTTCCCAACTTGATTGGCCAACTCGCTTGAAGATTGCACAAGGGGCAAGCTGTGGCTTAGCTTATTTGCATCAGATATGTGAACCACACATAGTGCATCGCGATATAAAGTCAAGCAACATACTCCTTAATGAAAATTTTGAGGCACATGTTGCTGATTTTGGGTTGTCCAGGTTGATTCTTCCATATCATACTCATGTTACCACTGAACTTGTTGGTACATTAGGCTATATTCCCCCTGAGTATGGACAAGCATGGGTGGCTACTCTGAGAGGAGATGTGTACAGCTTGGGTGTTGTCATGCTTGAGCTGCTAACTGGGAGGAGGCCTGTAGATGTATGCAAGCCAAAAATGTCAAGGGAGTTGGTTGGCTGGGTTCAACAAATGAGAATTGAAGGAAAACAAGATCAAGTATTTGACCCTATTCTGAGAGGGAAGGGGTTTGAAGGAGAGATGCTGAAGGTGCTGGATGTGGCTTGCATGTGTGTCAGCCACAATCCTTTCAAGAGACCAAGCATCAGAGAAGTTGTTGAATGGCTGAAGAATGTAGCATCAGACAACCAGCCAGCACAGAAATAAAGACTTGAGGGAAATGTTTGTCCCTCAACAAATCTTGACAACATTGTATACTTGTGCAAATTCTTTCTTTTGCTTTTTTACAGATTATCATTTGACTACTGTAAATGTTGATTCCCCTTGTCAGAACATTATTGCTAGAAAGATTTTGTGAATTATCTTATGTGATCATCCATTTTGAGCTGGAGAACTTTCTATTCTTGGAAGTTGCAACTTTTGACATCTAATAAATTTTTCTGGTGATCAATGCAGAATCCTAAAACAATGCAAACCTATGTTATATATTCTTGTTTTACATCTCAATGTTATTATTGTAGTCCTATAAACTTACTGGTTTTTATTATTATTGTTCAAATTATTGAATACCGCTCCTTTCTTTTAGAAGTTGACATGCAGGGTTTTAGTTTAAAAGAAAAAAAGAAGATGATATCCAGCACAGAAAAACGTTTATTTCATCTTAGTTCTAAAACAATTGAACTACTTGGTCACTGGCATAACAAATTCCACTTTCTAACTTAACATTTCTGAATATATACCAGTGAACAACTGCTTTTATATGCTTTAAACAATTAGCTTAGTACAAAGTAAATACATACTGAAACATGATAACTGACATCTGAAACTGAAGCCAAAGTCACATTCCAGATAGTTTACTTTTGTTACTAAAGAAATGCCACAAAGGAATTTGTCAATTTGCCATCAAAGATAAAGAAGAACCTCAGCTTACACATCATGCGTTATGCTTTTTGTTCTGTAAATCAGCAATGAAATGGATAACTATAACAAGTAACAGTTTATTTATGACCCTTTGCCTTCACGTCCCTTCTGTTTTGAACTATACACATCAGTGGTCTTGGTTTAGTGCACACACCTGTGTGATCATATATGACAATAGGACAGAAAGCCACTAATATCAATTTTTCTCTTATATTGTTATCCAGAAATGTAGCAGTGCTTGAGCAATCAAACTAATGTTCTACCAGAAGAGGAACTATGAACTTCATGATTTGACAATTTGTGATTAAAAAATAACAGACACTACAGAATGTGTACACTGAAGATGGCAAACTTTCAGGTTGACAGTTGTTTACTATTAGAGACCTTGAATCAATTAGAGATTTTATGGTTCATGACAAAATCTGAGGCCTAAAACCAAAAGCAGAAGTGCACGCAATCACTCACTGAAGAAATGAATGGCCCAACAGTAGCACAATCAGCTGTTTGATATATTATTTAGAGGAATGTGATACACACTCAACAGAAGAACATGTTGGACACTTATTGGAGATGTAACATCAGTGTAAATTGCGCATGATTATTTGTTGACTCTATATCCATCTTTTTGGTTGTTCTTGGTAGAAACTAGAAAGTCTCTCTAGCCCATTAAACGTGAGGTTCATTTTCAGTGGTGGGGCTGCGAACACATTATGGCTAAGCATGATATTTGAAATTCACCATTTATTCACCAAGAGCAGAATCAAACAATAAAATAACCCTCTACTCTTACTGCATAAAATCATATCCGGAAAAGAGGAATGAATAGCTTTAGCAGATCATAGTTCCTTCTTGGCCACTATTTCATCTTTCAAATGTCAACAGAAACCAAGAAACCAACCTCAAGCAAGCTTCTTCTGATAAGTACGGATGACTGGAATTTGATTTTATAATCATTAATAGGAAAACATCAAGGATTGATGTCAATAAATTCGTTATTTATGGTACACTTACATATATACTTTACTACAATCTCAGTAGTTGAATGGTTAATAACATTCAAATTTGGAATTATGCATCTAAACCTCAGAGTAAATACTAATCCAATCTTCAAAAAAATCTTCCTTCTAGTTTCGAATATGTACTGTATGGTCATACGGCCTTAAGATAGGACCGACGGAGAGATCATCGAATAGGGGACGACTGGCCGAATAGGTGAGAATCAACACGTCTTACAATCCAAATAAGCATTGTAATGACCGCACGAATAGAATAGTGGAAGACCGGATGAAACATTTTTTAATCAAAATTACTGGTAAGTGCTACTTAGCAAGGAATAAGACATGATTGGACCATGATTAGGGTTTCATTAATTTCAGACTGATCTTAAAATTTATAAATAGAAGTGAAAGATAAAAATTTAGGTGATTGCATTTATGGCAAGTTTAAAACTTTACTGTAACCCTCCTTCGGATTAATGTCTGACTTAAGGGTTTAAGTACTTTTGACAGGTACACAAGGAATGACTAAGACTTTGAACTAAAACGTGCATAAATACTTAAGCTACTTTGAAGAAAAAAAGTGAAAGGAATGTTTTACGAAGATCCTCGACTTTACACCCGAAACAGAATACACACAGTTTGACTTTAATAATCTGCAATGTGATTGTGAAGTGTTTGTGTTGTAGGACTTTTTTGCTTGTATATTTTATGGAAGATGCTTCTGCATGAAAATAACTTTGAATGATCTAACTCAACTTTAAATTTGAACAAATATGTTTATGCAAATAAGTTAAATAATTTACTAACAAATGAATTCTTTTACACGAAACTTAGGTTTGTTTAGAATATTAGTGACTTAGAGAATGTGTTTATTTAAGTACCATCCCCACATTCCTAACAATATTGATTTGAAGCACATTTTCCTGTGCTAGGCTTCTGTAGGATAAAATAGGTCCTATATTTAGACAACTTTTAGCCCAAACAATGTAAATGCATGGAAGAATGAAAATATCTACATCAATCCCACGGAAAAATATCTTAGTCAATTTCTAAAGAAGAACAAAAAGGCAAAAAGGCTTCTAAGTATATAAACTTAAATATTATTTGATATACACACGTTTTCAAACATTTTTTCCTTAAAAAATTGGAAAAATATTTTATATCACTACCTTAAATTAACATGCCTTTATTATGAATGAAATCATGTTTCATATTGGTGAAAAAGTTATATAAAATAAGTAAAAAAGAACCAAGTAAACATTGTTTTCGAAAAAATATAAAAAATGTCTTTTTACAGGGTTTAGTCCAATTCACATTGTTCCTAAACCACAATATAGTTTTTTCTTTATATATAATATTAGAAAACTCTAAAATATACATAATTCAGATATTTAAATCACATGATTTAGAAATATATTTTGAATTAAATAATCTAAAATATATTTTTAAATTTAATAAAATATTTTGAATTGTGTAATTTTAAATTACATTACTTAATATATACATATATATATATATATATATATACACACACTTTAAATTATCTAATACAGTGTATTATATAAATTTATAATATATTTCTAGATTAATGTAAATTAAATTCTTTAATGGAGGGTAAAGGAGAAACACACCTCAATCAACACCTTAACAAAAGGTTTTAGACAATTTCAACTGAACAAAAAGAAAAGACATAACGAACAATTTATGTAAGTAACATTGCTACACACTTGTAATTAAATAATGAAGGATTAAAGATAACTAATTAAATTATAAAATTCTAAAAAGTGATTGGAGCCTATAAATCTTAGACCAACTATAACCCATAATATGTATTATAAATTATTACTATTTACAAAATATATTAAGATTTTTTTTATAATGTATTTATTCACATGCAACGTATCACTGACTTAAACATAAGAGGATCTTATACATATATTGATTAAAGACTACTACATTCAAATATATCTTTTGTAAGAATAAATTCAAAATATGTATTTAAAATGTAAATATGTTTTAAAATTATACATTCTAAAATGTAGTTAAAAATTATACAATTTGAATTGATTTGTACTCATTTAGATTTTTTCTTTTTTTCACATAAATCCAAAAATCTTAGACGGTAGAAAAAGGAATTTACAATTATTTTGCATACTAAAAGATGGTTACAATAAAAACAAGAAGAAAAAGAGACGAAAGGTTAATAAAAAATATATTTTACTGGTCTTTCTTTGTTTGTTTGGATTATTTAAAAAATACATATATTTATTAGAGACTTACCCTATTTTTTTTTATCTTCTCATAGCAGTCAAGGATATAGAGAGAGAAAAAAAATGTTTTTTTAACCTCATCTGATATGCTAAAATGTATTTTACTCTTACTTAAAAACAACTTGATTTTTTTCCATTTCTTTCTTTCAGTGTTTGTCTACATTTTCTTATGTCTTTTCATGATATTAGACAAGTTATCAAAAATATTAAAAATAAAATGATTTTATACTGTTATCAAATAAATAAACTATTAAATATAATAATTTGTTTGATTTTTACAATCATCTTAAGTTGATACATTTATAACTAGAGATATTTTATATTCAATGGATTATATAAGATATTTTTTTATGGGGGACTAAGATTCTAAAAAAATGTTGATTCTTACGACTTTCTCTAATATTTTTCGTCAATTTTGTTCTCTTTTTGTTTCCCTTTTTCGTTAACAAAGCTTATAGTTTAATTTTCGTTGAAGTGCCAACCAGTTTGACAAAACCAGAGAAAAACAAATAAAAATTGGAGGATCGAGATAGGTAATGTAATTCGATAGAGTGCAGATGAGGGAAGCAATGCTTTGATTTGATTTGATTCCATTGCTGCGAGTGTGAGGATCTGTATTGGTGATGAAGCAGCACGAGTTAACTCTGTTGTTGTGTCTCTTATGGGCACTAACCCTTCTCTATGGTGAGATGTTCGCTTATTGGGTTCCATCCCTCTTCACCTGTTCGTGGCCCCATCTTCTCCGCAACTCTTCTTCGTCAACGGTAGCTACAAAGTCTTCATTTTTTCTCCTTTTTCATTTCTGGGTCACACTCAATATTTGACATTCTCTATACTTCATAACCAAAACCAGAAGAAATCACTTGTTTTGTTTATGAGCTTGGGAGTTCATGAACACTAAAGCTCTATCTTAAAGATAAAACAAAATAGTAGTTATGATTTTATTTAATTTTGAAATTGGTCTGGTATATGAAGGTTGTTAGTTTTTTTTTACTAGTAGTGGCTCCACCAAGGAATGTGGGCAGTGTATGTACTGGATCTGTAAATTTTTACTAGTTTTGTTGGATATGGTTTACTGGGTTTTGTTGAAGAGTTTAATTTATATACATTGTTAATGTAAAATGTTTTACACTGTGAACCTACTTCATTGCTAGTATGACTCTTAAAGTAGTTATTGTAGAAGTTAAAAACATCTATCTCATTTGTGATTAAATGGGAGAGTAGAAGCTATTTTCAATGACAGAGCCTACACCATTTTCTCTTTGTTGAAATATTGAATATTTGATGATTCCTGAAGGGAGCCTAAGCCGACAGACTGGTTCTTTTACAGTATATCAAAAGTTTTGTCTACATTACAATTATAATTTAATTTGCTAAACATAATAAAATGCATAATTATCTGAGCTTATTTTGAGGATTTTGCTTGCAGGCTCAAACAGATGGCGGGAATTACCAAGCTGATTATGTAAAAGTTGCTGTTATTACAGATCCACAGGTGAATGTTTCTTTTATTGTTATTTTATGGTCATACATATATCTGTGAAAAATATACCTGCATCGTCCATGCCTGTTTAAGTGTGTATGTACTTATTATTTCACGTTTCTGTGGACGTGCATCTCTCTCACCATTTGACTTGAATTTCTTTTTAAACTGAACAGCTCATGGATAAAACTTCTCTCAGTCTTCCTGCAAAATCACTTGCACTGGAGCTTGCAGAATTCTACACTGATTTAAACATGCGTAGATCATTCTTTGGATCTGTCCTGCCTTTCAAACCTGATGTCATATTGTTTTTAGGTGATTACTTTGATGGAGGTCCTTATTTATCAGATGAAGAGTAAGTCCTGAAAATTATTTCTTAATTTAGTTTTGTACAAGTTTAAAATAATTTTAATTTATCTATTATGCCACGTTTAATTTTTCCAATCACTCTTTTCCACCTACAGTGATTTTGGAACTCAATTTTTACCTTTCACTTCAGAAAACAAGAAAACCAAAGAGATGATACATTTTACATATTAGATGTCGATTCTTTTTTCTCATTTGCAAAAGCTGAATTTAGTGGACAAAGTAATCAAAAGCAAAAATAAAATGCATTGCTAGTTCCTCTTTCTGTTATACTAAAAGAGTTATCCTAGAAAGTCATCATATGAGCATCATGTTGAGTTCAACCAAAAATTTATGGATATTAATCTCAGGTCAAAGACTTGAGCGAAATGCTGAAACCAAATGGTTAAAGGAGTCTTTGGTGCTTAATGATAAGTTTTAACCCTCTTGCTTTCAGAGTTCTTTATATCAGTTGATAATTTAGTCCTATTTATTTAGATTACATTTCCATATTGTCGAACAAAAGATAGAAAACGAAATCCCTAGATTACTGTAGTAAATATTTATATGATTACATTCTAAGGAGCTGCTGATTAATTACAAGTAATGTGTTGTTTAACTCATTTATCTTGAATGACTGTTCAGCATGTTCACTCAAATTTTCTATTATGAAATGCTTTTACAATCATTTGGATGAACAGATGGCAGGAGTCTTTGAGTCGCTTCCGACATATCTTTGGTTTGAATGCACGAGGAAAATACATGGACTTGCAAGTTTACTACATTCCTGGAAACCATGATATTGGGTATGAAAGTCTTCATTCTCTAAATCCAGAGGTATTTAAACATGCTATCGCTCAACTTTTGATTCCCAAAGTTCAATAACTATAAGGTTGATTTGTTTGAATTGACTTGTATGGTGTATAACTATAAGGGAATCAAATGACCAAAGACATGACTAAGAGTCTAAGAATGTAGTCATGGTTAGAATGATCTTAAGACATTGAGGATGAGAAATTACATTTATTGTGCCTAAGGGTTGTTGAGTGTTGATATTAAAAGGGAAAAGAATGCATAGAACCCTCAAACACAGGTCATTTTTCAAATAAACACGTTGAACTTCTTGTATTAATGTAATGGACCCTTCTGTTAAGTCACTAATGAACTACTCATCTTGATCCTTCTTTGAGATTAAATGTTATCCTTTAAGTTTTTCTACTACTACTACCTCTATTGTTGTTAATATTATTATTCTCAAAGACATTTCCTGACTATCATGTTTTTAACCCTAAAAAATTTACAAGACTTTGAAGACCGGAAGACTGCATTTTCATCTTTGTCATTTCATCCACTCTCCCAAATCATACATGTCTACTTGTCTCACATTTTGTGGGAGGACTCATTTGTCATTGCGATAGATGCAACATCAGCCACAGTAGAATGGGTTATGGCTGAGTTGCCACAAAACCCATAGAAATATGTATGGAGAACCTGAAGATTCAGATGTGACTAAGCTCTTAATCTGCATACCATTGGGGGAAAAAAAACCCTTAGATCACACCTAGGAGTTTCAATAGGAATCCACAAATCAGTGGCTGAGTTAGACATGTGTGGCCTTAGGGTACCCAAAGGTGCACAAGTTCTCATTAATGCAAGGAGCTTGGGAAGAGACTCAAGCATTTGGACTTACCCTGACTTTTTCTGTTAGAAAGGCTTTTAGAGAGTGAAGCTTGGTCTTGGGCGAATAAAAGAGGAGACAGAAAAAGACATGATGAGTCCTGTATGTGGTATTCCAAATCTTTCTTATTTTTCTTTTTCCTTTTTTATCTTTTGTTATTTTTTTAGACCTTTGAAGGCCAAAATCAGGAAATTATGTTTTAAAATAATAGTAATTGAACTGCTTAGATATAATCTCATATTAAGAAGGCTATATGTTCAAGGGGTTGCAACAATGAAGAGTACATTTTAGGGTTGATAGACCATTAGAGACTCCCAAAGATTAGGAGCTTTAATATCATGATAAAAAGTAAGTTTTAGTCTAACTCATTATAACAAAATTAGTGTATAAGGTGAGGGTTGCACTTGTCTCTAGTCAATGTTCCAACACACACCTTTTATGCCGAGACATGTATATCTCGTGCATTGAACTAGATATTTGTAGGTAGTCCAATATCAACCCAAGAGACAAACCTCGTTGGGATACCATATCAAATTTAGAAAGAATGATATTTCTTCTATATTTCAATAATGAGATCATTGGTCCTATTAATACATGAGCCTCCTGTTTATTTTAGGAAATATAGAGCTAATTCTGAGGAAGCCAATCCCTGCAATATGGGATTGTTTTTAAAGCAGTCCTAGTTTTACTGCAAGATACACCTTTAATAAAAAAAATAAAATTACAGCAATGATAAAATAAAAAACTTCCTAAAATACATAACGAGCAGCATGTTTTGACAAGATATAATCTCAATGAAGCATTAGGATGAGTTGTCCATTAGTCAGTTAATGGAAGGTTAACTGATGGAAGGTTAACTGAAGGGTATATTACTCAATTGTATTGATATGAGAAAATTGGACGAACAAAGAACTGGAAGGGCATATTAGGAAGATTCAAAATATTTATGAGAGGAAGAAGTGGAAACCCATTTCATGGGGACTACAGGCACAAGCACACTGATTTCCTGATAACAGAATTGCCTATGTGGCAGGAGGAGGGAATGTAGGGAATCTTTTACGTTTTGGAGAGTGAATAGGGAGTATAAAGGTAGTACTACGTGATCTTTAGGGGAGGCTGGTTTTGGGTGGAAGAAAACAGATTTTGGGCTGGGATTTGGCAATAGGACCCACATTGTCTTTGTTACTTTGTTTTGTTGGTGAACTAATACAAGGGATCCCCTTTCATTACTTTTCTGTAGTTTTTGATACCTATCAAAATTTAAGTAGTAGTTGCAATCAAAACATGTTCAACGTGTCTATTTCAAAATGGAGTAAAGTTCAGGAAGTCAATATAATCATTTCCTATTTTAAAATTTGGATTATTGATGACATGCATATTGTTGTGGAGTGAGATGAGATTTTGTATAAACTAATCTCCTTGACATTTATGCATTATTGATATTTATTAGAAGATGAATGTGAACAAAGCATGGCATTTTATCTTAACAATGAAATGTCTTAATCTTGTGTTGGTTGTGAATGAGACAAAAATTCATTGAAGTTGCCTGATAATTGATCTTGAGAACCGTAAAAAGACATTTGGCAATAGGAGCTCGTTCATTGTGATTCATAAATAGGAGGTTTGAACCACATATTAAATGTTCAAAACGTTTTATTAAGTGGTTCTTGAAACAAGTTTTTCCCTTCAATTTTACATAATCTACAATCTAATATGTTGTCTGGTTTTGCATTTTCCATTAATTGTGTTCTCTCTATTGGTTCCTTCCTTGCCCCATGAGCATAGGTTATCCAACGCTATGAGGAAGCATTTGGGACAAGGAACTACAGATTTACTGTCGGAAAAGTGGATTTTGTTGCCATTGATACTCAAACTGTGGATGGTGAGCTAGATTTGACTTATGAATTTCAGCTGTCATGTTTCTTAAGTAGCAATGTTGTAATTACTAGAACTCTTATTTTATGGTATCAAGTCATCACATTTGTATCATTTCAGTGCAATATGTATTCCTGATTTATCTGACAATCGAGTTTTTTCTTTTGATCAAACCCTCTTCTCGCGGCTGTACGTGCTGGAATAGATGTTTTTGTATCTGTTTGCTGCATTGTGCCGTTTACTATGTTTCACATGTAACTTTTAACACTGAACATTTCTCCATTTGGACAAGGCTTTATTTATGAACTATGTTTCATTCTTTGACATTTTTTTATCTTAAAAAAGCAATTATAGTTTAACTATCTAAATATCTAAAAAATTGTTATTGAAATATGGTAAATTTAAATCATGTTCTATTTATACATGTCACTGCTTGGAAAATTTTAATAAAGCTGAAAATGCTGAACTAATTATGTTTTCTACAGGACACCCACAAAATCATCTGACTTCTCAAACTTGGGGTTTTGTGAAGAATATCTCTGCTGGTATGAACTGGCCTTTGAGTATATATTTCATTGTCAGGTCAGGTCAATTGTCGTATTGTAATGCTTGTTTCTTTTGAACTTTACTAGGTAATGTGGTTCATCCAAGAGTTTTGTTGACACATATTCCATTATATCGACTTGATGATACTTACTGTGGTCCTTATCGGAGTTCCCCAGTTATCAATCAGGTAAAGTTTATTTTAGTTTCTTGAAGCAAATTTATATCAGACACATTGAATATGGTATGGTATTGGTCATTGGAATAATATGGCACAGTGAGTTGTGTCAGAAATCTGAATGTTTTCTTACCTGCCATTCTGGAAACTTTTTAACAATTTCTTCTTATATTTCAGAGGATAAATTATGCTGTAAATGATAACACTAATGAGATATCGTAAGTTACTCATCTTTCAAACCATGGAAACTGCATGAATCATGTGCAGGTAGCTCATAGTCCCTGATGTTTGATTTAAATTTTATTCTATCCAGGTATCAAAATTATGTTTCGGAGAAGTCTTCAGAGTACTTACTAGATACAATCAAACCTGTGAGTCATCTCTCTTTTTGGAATGTTGCGTTGCTATTCCTACCTTAATATTGTTATGGGGAAAAATAGTTCATGGTGGGTTTACTGATTATTTGTTGTTCAATATATGCCTTTCAATTTGAGACCTTGTTCTGTACTGATAAAAATACCCGGGTCATTTTCCTTTTCTCTGTGGGGATGACTGAGAAGTGGAAGACGACTCAATATAGGGAAGTTGGGAGCTGAAACTTTAGTGAGGGTAACTGCTCTCTGAATTAATAGTTTTGTTTTTGACAGAAGCTTATTTTGTCCGGTCATGATCACGATCAGTGTACCATCACTCATCAATCTAAATCTGGGCCTGTAGAAGAGGTAAAAACCTTATCTTGTTGAAACTGTCTCCTTGAGTGTTTGGACAAATGTAACTGACAAGAGTATGCAGCACACTCTAGGTACTATAAGTTGGCAACAAGGAAACTTGTATCCCTCGTTCATGCTGTTATCAGTTGATAACTCAACTCTTCCAAATGCTTCCATTCCAAGAGATGCTTTGTTGACTCATCTATGTTTTCTTCCAGTTCAATTACACATTTACATATGGTATGTTCAAACTGAACTGATTACAATTTTCACCCGATCATTTGGGTCATCTCTTTTATTGATGAGTTTTATCTTGCTATAAATGTCAGGTATATTGTGCTATTTGTCTTGACCCTTCTTGCCACCCTATTTTGGCCAACAAGTGGCACAAGTTTTTGGCATCAGTGTTGGGGCTTATTTGGCTATTGTAAACAACTAATGTCTGGCATCTTTTCTAGAAGCGAAACAAAAGACAAGGATGAGGATGCTAACTATGAATATGAGATGATGTGGGATGCAGAAGGATCAATGCATCTCGTAAAGAAACCCTTGAATCCATCTACTGTAAATTCAAACGACCGAAGCTTAGGAGAAAGGTAAACTTTGGTTTCCATTTGTGGCAGTTCAATCCTGTAGAAGTATTATATTTGATTTACTGTGAGTCATGAGACATAACATTAGTCTCTTCCTTTTGTTCTTTCTTTTATCTGCTGTCAGGGGTAATGTTGTGATGCGGGCAGCAGCTAGAAAAACTACTACTCAGGAAGGAGAACACTCTGTAAATGTGGATATGGCTTCAGGAATTGCTCTTGATCCTATTGGAAGAATACCTCCCAGAACAGGCAAATCAAAGACAAAAGTTATAATCCAGAGGCTGATACGTACCCTGCGAATGTTCACTGTCATTGCAGCAGTGAATGTTCCTCTTTACATGATGTTGCTATTCAAGGATTGGATTGACAAATGAGAATCAAATTCCTATAAGAGCTATACCACTCAGGTTTTACATCCACTTTTGTTTAATTTAAGGTGAAAATTTGTATATCCAATTACATGTTCAAGAAAGTAATTGCCATCAGCATGATTTCACTAATCATATGTTGAGGCTTTTACATTAGCTTGAAACTCATCTTTAAATTATTCACTGACATGGTTATGATCATACGCAACATCAAGTTATAAACAAACGGTTTTGTTAATCGAGCTATTTTTTCTGTTTGTTTAGATTTCCTCTGAACTCATGTTATTTGCTGAGTATGCTCTGTTAACATAGCATAGTCATTTGATTTCAATTATGTTTGTATATATTTTAATACTGCCTTGTCCTTCGAATCAGCAAAAAAGAATCTCAACTATATTAACTATCTGTCGTAAAATAATGTTGTAGGAGGAATCAAGATATTGAGCTTAGTAATTGCTGTCATATTATATTATATGTAGCTAAAACGTGTATTTTATAACTGTGATAAGCCTTAGTTACGTGTCATGTTCGCTGTTCTTGGAATGATACAACTTACTCACTGGCTATAAACTGTCATAACAAAAATTATGTGGAAAACGCGTGTTAGATGTCAAGTGTTAAATTTTATACTAATCCAACTTCATTACTTACATGGAATTTAATCATATACATATTCACCGACTAAAATATGCTTTTTTTTTTGTGTACAATAATTCAAGTTTTGATTATTTTGCCCGCCCACATAAGTTATTTTAACTACGATTTATCTAACATTAAAATCTTCAAAAAAATGAATTAATTCCTTTACCAATTAATTTGTGTTGTTTATAGAAACAATTTGTGGAATCTCTATACAGTTGTTTGGTAAACTTTCAAATCATCTTAGGTGATATACGAGCTCATAGATAACTTTATTTCCGCCTGTAATGGTTTTTTTTTTGTTTAGGTAATACACATTAGAAAAAATATTTATTTTTCTTAAAAATCCATTAAATTATAACTGCAAAGGAAGAATAATTATAAGAAGCAATTTTTGATAGTGAACAGTGTAAGGATTTCGTTGGCCAACTTTGCTTACTTGTTAAAAGACTCATTATAATGGCAAAGACTTTATCTTAACAAAGCTCTCGGAGTGAAGGACTCGTAATAGTAGCATTTTCTGAATTAAAAATGAGATCCACAAAACTTGCTTATTTTAGAATCAAATTGGTTAGGGTATTGCACATCCTATGTACGAACTTCCAATGACAAAGAACATGGATCAAGAGATATGCTTGTCTTTGCATGGCCAGGCAATATAATGGAAAAATCTAGGCTTATCTTGATCCAATACATATGTGCTGTCAAATCAACCTTCCGTCAAACATTCCATGATGCCTTTTGATAAATCCTTATACACCTTCACTTCACAATCACTTTCTCACATGATACAGAGATCGTAATCATTGTAATCAAAACCTTCTCTTCAGTTCAGTGTTTTTGTCTATGCTGAATTGCACCAATTTTGGTTAACCCCCTCCAACGTTTTATGTAGTTCTTTAGACAAGGTAATTATGAACAGTGAAACCTTTGTCCCCTTAACTAGATTCATTCAACCCAAATAATAACTTTGAACGTAGGATTCTTGAACAAAATGCTTGCCCCTAGTCCTATAGCCTTAAACTCTAGCTATCCCTTGAATTCAGATGAACTATAAATAGCCATCATAATGTTTCTGAAGTTGAAGCTACTTTGTAAGTAACGGTGTATGATTTTATATCTTGTCTTTTATGGAGCATAGTTGAGTTTCCCTTTTGTATTTTTCAAGCCAGCAGAAGTATACCAAGTGCTAGTTATTAAGTCATAATACCATTATAGTCAAAGAAAGTAACATATGCAATACAAGGAAAGGGGGTTTTGGTAGAAAAGTCTAAGTACATTCCAAGTGGAGTACAACATTCCAATTATTCTAGCATCAGCTAAAGGACGTTTAGTTAATCAACTCCTTGCCAACTTCATATATTGTGGAAAAACAGCACTGAGGGTGTCCATAAAACTCTCCTTTCTCCATAAAAACCCATTTGGCTTTCCCAAATGGGTAAAAAACAAGAAGGAACAAAGGAGACCAAAATGACAAATCCAAAGTGAAGCTCAACCCAACTTTGCTGGCAGACCATGCATGGCAAGGAGCTTCCTTCAAACAAAGATATCATCATTTTAGAAGGTAGTAAACTTTAGGATATATGTATATATATATTACACAGAAACAAGACCAAAGGAGGGTGGAATAAGAGTGTAACTCAATCATCTCCTTGAATGTACCAACAAAGTAGCATGGTGGCACATCGACGTAGGATATAGAGACGGGCACGTTGCTCCTTGACCAAAGAAGCACACTTGCTGCTATATCCCTTTCTCTTTGAGGGAACCTTAGTTCTTTGCTTGCACTTGTAGCTTTGAAACTCGGCCATGGATGCTGTTATGGTGTAACAATGATGATGATGATGATGAAGAAGATGAAATACAAAAGCAACAGTAGCAAGAGCCTGATATTTTGTCAAAGGGAAACCCCTAAAAAAAAGGCTCGCTACACAGCCTGAGGAACTAAGCGTGGGCGTGCTACAATATATATATATAAGCAAAGTTGACTTGGTGGAGTAAAAAGAAAGCGATTAAGTGAACGTGGGCAAGCTCGAAAACTGAGGGATTTGCAGGCTTTAGGGGTTTAAATTTCAATGAAGTTAAGGGGGAATGAACGTGGGTCTTGGTAAGATTTCTTTGATGATGCAATAAAATAGTGTAGTAGTTGTTACCAATGTAAGTAGTGCAAAAACAATGAGGGGTTAATTAGAAAAGTGGCAAAGGTGAGCATGAAAAGAGGGGACATTGCTATATAATAATGCAGACAAAGCATTGAGTGGAGTGTTCAGCCACGGGAACACGTACCCGGCAAGGTTACCTCAACTCTGAGGTGGGTTGGAGCTTTTGTTGGATTCTATCTTTCATCACGTTCCTAACTTCCAACAATAACATCTTTCTTTTTTACTTCAATGCAGATGGCCAGCTGTTTCATCACAGATTTTATCTATTAATCACACTTTGTTAGGATCAATCTTAGATTATGCTTATATCTCTTGATTTAATCTTCTCATTTGCTCTAACTGCTGCTGGAATAATATATTCAACAAACTACAAATATTGTTAAGATAGACTCTAACCATAATTTTGATATGATATTAGAAAGTGGATTTTAAGCCTAACTCAACTCCATAAAATCAGTTTGTAAGGTGAAATTTACATTCATTTATATATTCTAAATTGATCTTATTTCTAATTGATGTAAAACTTCCAACAAAGATAACATGTAGTTTATACTGAAAATAAGAGAACAAAACATTAGTTTTATCAAATATATATAGAAATCTCTTTTCCTAACACAAGCATATATATATATATATATATGTGTGTGTATGTGTGTATATATATATGTGTATATATATATATATATATATATATATATATGTATATATATGTGTGTATATATATATATATATATGTGTGTGTGTGTTTGTATATATGTATATATAATAGGAAAGGATTAAGTATGATACGTTTGGATTTACTTTCCATTGTTTACTGACTGATCTAATCTTGTCCCTTGGTGAGATTACATTGATGATCCTTTTTCATGTGTAATGGAAAGCTAAAGTGTCTTCTAAAATGGTTATGCTTATGTGTGAGTAACTGTGAGAGAGAGAGAGACAGAAGATATGCAAATCAGAATCAGTATATGCTGGATATATAGTCAAAGCAGACTGTTCAGTTTTGGTGGAAGTTAGATTGGTTGGCTTCCAGCTTTTGATGATGTTCCAAGAGCTTGGATTTCAAGTTTAAAATCGACTAAGATCTTTTTAGGAGACAAATTTTTACCTATATTTGATTTGGTGCTGCTTTCTAGATAATCCATTTTTTTCACATCAGTTTGAACTTAGTCAAATGCAGATGGAGAATGTGATCTTGATCTACAAGATATGATTCCTTTGGAGTTAATTGTAAAACATATCTATGTGTAAGGGAATTTCATTATAACTATTTTATTTTGCTCCAATACTCAGAATTATATCAGACTTATTGTCTATTTGGATTACAAGTCATATAATAAGAAGAAAATATAGGTTGAAAAGAAATAGATAATATAAAAGAAAATTTAATGGTTGGATAAGTGTAAATAAGAAGAAAAACATTTAAAAGTTTTTCCAAATCCTAATAATAAAAAACACAGTATATGAAATATCTTAATGATATTAAATGTTTTGTTAACAAATTGACATCTCACATGTGGAGTTGACAAGTCCTATTCAAGTAGCTTTATTTGGGGTTAAGGTACTTTAACAATATCTTTGTACTAGAAAAGAAAATAAATTAAAGGAAAAGTGAGAGAACACAATAATCCAAATTAAGGTAACATTGTAAGCTATTTGATAGCGAAAGAAAATTAAATAAAAATATTTAAAAACTAGGAAAAAATCTATTTTCTAATTGTATATAAAATATGTATAACATCCCATATCTTAATATAAAAAATGCCAAAGTTAAGGTATTTTGGTTTATTTATTCCTTCTTATTTCCATCACTCAAATTGCTTATATTTGTTGTTTTCAAAAGTATTAATAATCCTTTTATTTTTTATGAATACTTTTGGAAACAAATACATGATTGTATGATAAATGATTTATTAAAGTAGAAAATAAAATTTAAAGACAAACAAAATATATATTAATTTACAAACGTTATTGAAATAAAAATGATAAAATTAAAGTTATAAGAAAATATTCAAGTTTAAAAATATTTTAAATGTCCTCTTATTTCCTTTCTTTAAAGAAATCTTTTTTCATAGACTAATCAAAATTATAAAATCACATAAAAAAATATTAAACTAATAATAATTAAAATTTAACACAAATATTTTTCTTTTTAAACTTCAATTGTATAAAGAAGATTTAGAATAATTACATTAAATTATAATATTATAATAAATAAGATTTCTTTACATAATAGTAAGATAAAATTACACATATGATCCATAAAAAATAAGAATAATTAAATAAAAAATCACTAAAATGATATTTTACATAATAAAAATAAATAATAAATAAAAATATTAAAAAGAAGAAAAACTATCAAATTATAAGCATTTGATACACCGGTAAATAAAATCGCATAAAAGAAATAGATGTATAATTAAGGATACAGTAAAAA